CCCGTTCTCAATGTCGTTCCTTTCCTCCGGACCCCAAAGGGGGAGAGCCTACTCCACTTGTGCAGCAGAGGATGGTTTGGTTGCTGTTTGGTTTGGTTTGTTTAGATCATCTCAATTTTCAGCAGAAGCCAAACCCAATATTTTAACTTCTCACCTCGAAATTTTGCCCCAAAGTTCTGATTTATTTTACCTTTATCTTTTGTTACCCAGGAAACAATATGCCTCCTGCCCAATTTCTTCTCATTTCTCATGCCATCAGCTTGCTCCCAGAGATGCTGCAAGCCGTTGGCTTTGTAAAGCTGTCGCATTAGTATGCTCAGAGAAACAGAACCAGTTAGATAGGCGCACAGAGAGAGGAGGAGACACAGAGACTTATGAGGGGTCTTGCAAAATCTTTTTATTCCATTTCTCCAGAGACTTTTTGAAGCCCCCCCCTCACACACACACACACCTTGTATTTTAAGGAATTGGCTCAAGAAATGTTGGTGGCTGTCCAGTCTAAAATCTGTATAGGTCAGGCCATAAGCTGCAGGTCCCTGGAGTCTTGTGTGAAAGTCAGACTTGGAAAGACTCGGGGAATTCTGGCAACATGTCTGTTGTCTGCAGGAAGAACACACCCCAAGGAAAGCCTGCTTCCTTGCCCCTCAGACCTCCAGCGGGTTGGAGGAGGCCCACCCGCACAGTCTGGGTGATCTGCTTTGGGGAAGGCCCACCGACTTCATCACGTGTAACCATTTCAGAGCGGCATCCAGACTAAGGCTTGACCAAGCTGACACACAAAATTAACGGTCACACCTCCAATTCTTACCTCCTCTTGACCAAAGGACTTGCCTTGTTGGCTGCTAATTAGTGACGTGGCAGCGTGGCGACTGTACAGCACCCCCGCCACGCATGGTGGCTAGTGTGGTGCTTCAAGGACCTAAAGAGGGGGTCTCGTTGGGCTGTTTCATTCCTTGTTCAGTTGGAGGCCCCTCGGGGGTACAGTGCTTGTTTCACATGATGGGCAGCTCCCTAGAACGTGCGGTTCATAGCCTGCGGTCATCTCCTGGCCTTTAGATGCAGAAAAAGACGGCTTCCTTGTAGGAAGGCCGCTACCCCGAGAAGCCAACTGGGGGAGTTGCCAGAATGGAAGCACTTTTTAAATCTGTAGGATGAGAGGAGGTGCCTGCACAATGTCTTTCCCTTCACCGTTCAGTTCCCAGTTTGGTACCGCTTGTTCCCAACTGGGTTGAACTTTTTCTTCCGGCAGCACGTGGAGTCATTGTGGAGGGGCTCTTGCATTCATAGATCCTTGTCACACAGCGTTGTGCAAGTGGGCGGAGGCAGAAATACCTGGCTATCCATTTTTCCCAGTGTCTGAGTGAAAAATCAGAACTATCAAGTCCTCTGTGAAAACGCCCCGAATCCTGCTCCGCATTGAATATCTGTTGTCTCCGCTGCTGAGACTTGAAGAAGATGCTCCGTAGAGATTTCCCCCCCAAATGGATGTGCAGATTTTGTATGGCTGTGCTTACCCCCTCCCCAACCCCCCGGAATGGGCCCATAGCTTCCTTCCGATTCCTGGGTGATGTAAATGGTTTATGCTGAGCTACTAACCTTAAGGTTATCGGTCCCAACCCACCCAGCGGCGGCGCGGAAGAAAGGCCTGGCGAGCTGCCTCCCGTAAAGACCACAGACAAGCACACGGCCACGGAGCCGTCTCACGCTTAGCACGTGGGGTCCCCAGGAGTCAGAATCCACAGGAATAGCTTGGGTTTCCTGGTTTGGTTCTAAGAGAGCGGATACCCTGTAGGCTTTCTCAGCCCTGTGTCACCTTGAACCTGTCACGTGGCTCTGCTACCTGCACAGTGCCCTCATCGAGTTGTGATTTGCTGTCCTAGCCTAGGTAGTTTGTGCAGGTTATGCACGCTAGCTGTTATTGCGGGTCCCTGATACAAGGGGGTTCCAAAAAGCTCGTGCCTGGAGAAGGAGTCATAACAGAGAATGGACTGTCGTGTGGCCTCTTCTCGTTTTATACCAAGTGTAAGTCTGTCCGCCCAGGCAAGCTGCCACAGATCCTTTGGACCTCTAGTAAGTTCCATATTCCTTCTTGGTGTTATTTGTCGTTTCAGCCACCAAGACTAAGGTGACCAGACATCCCGCTTTTGGCAGGACAGTCCTGATTTTTAACAATTTTTCCCACATCCCGCAGCATTTTTAAAAAGCCCCGATTTTTGGAAAGAATGCACGACAAGCTAGGGTATACAGTTTTCAGCTGCCATGTGGCTATTTCACCCGGATCTGAGTTTTACCAATGGTGTCCCGCTTTACCGATGTTAAAATCTGGTCACCTTAACCAAGACACCTACAAGAGCTGTTCAGCCCTAAGCAGTGAGAACGAAGAGTACTGAAATAGTATCTCCCTCTCTTTTCCCTAAACCCACTGTTTCTCATTCGGGCTGCTTTCCTCCTTGCGCACTCTGCAGCACTGATAGGGTTCATAAGCTCATGTGGAGCATGGATTTTCTAAGAGAAGTCATGACACTGTTCCCAGGGACAGCCTACAAAACCAACCACCAAACTTACTGCCAGAGAGGTGATGCCGCCTCACGGCCACCGCGTCAGACAGGCCAGAACCGCCCCCTGGGAATTTCCAATGCTGTAGCTCTTTACAGGAGTAGAGAGCCGAGTCTTTCTCCCGCAGAGCAGCTGATGTTTTCCAACTGCTGACCTGGTGGTTCGGAGCTCCGCTCCTAACTACTGCACCACCAGGGTTCTGGATGCAAAATGCAAGGAGGCTGCAAATCATTTATGGACAAATCCCAGTATCTTTCAAATCCATTGTTCCACCAACTTGTTACAAATCCTCCTGTTATATCCATTTGCTATTTGGTGATTCATCTGGGTGGTGCTGACACGCAACTTGTAGAATTAACTGGTGTTTCCAAAAAAAAAAAAAAACTATGGTGAGAGGAGAACCTGAAATGTCTGCAAATTGCAGCCTGCTCTCCTTCAATCTGACTGACACCAGCCCTTCTGTTGGCGCTCACGGGAGACCTGCGTTCCAGAGCAACTTGGCGCGAAAATCGGGCTGGAGTGGGGGGTTTGGGTTTCTGTTGGATAGTTCCCTTGCCCTATTGTGCTTGCGTTTCCACCACTTGAATATCCACACACTTTTCAGAGAAAGACTCGTTTAAACTGTCAGCTTTTGTTGTTAGACGGCCAACCAGAAGAGAAGATTCCGAGGGAGTCCCGTGTACACAGAGACCCAGAACAGGAGACAGTAGTCTTTGAAATAGTGCAATACTCACGCGGTTTCCCACATGCCCGTTTGTCGCTGTCGTAGGGGTTGCTTTGGAAGGCGGTGTGGCAAATTTCCTTAACCCTTCCCACGTTAGCGTACGTTACATATCAAGATATTCGAAAAATCAGTGGCCTTAAAGACCAAACTGTTATAGCTGTGAAAGCCCCTCCAGAAACAAGACTTGAAGTGCCTGACCCACTGCAGGTAAGGAGCCAGCGTTCTGTTCATCGGCAAAGCTCGTGGTGGGAGACGTGAGGTGGAAGGGCCCTGGACTCACCTCGGGCATTTCTCCCCGTCTAAAAGCTTCCGATGTCTTTCCTATCAGTTTTACGTGTCCCCGAAATTAATGACCCGTTCAACAGTTTGATACTTACGGAGTGAATGGATGTCCGGGGTGGGGGCAGGGGTGTCACAAGGCAGAACATCCCACTGAAAGCTTTATCGATATAATGCCCTGCTCGCCCCCGATTGTGTATTTGTCTTTTTAACTTTGCTTTCCTGGTGCTTCTCCATGTGAAACATTTAGGAAATGGTGTGTGGATTGTTCCATACGTGGTCTCCACTACGAACAGAGGGTTGGAAAGGTGTAGTTATCTCTCTAACCGATATTGATACATTGGAAGCATTTAGGACTCGATGATATGTTTGCTTTTAAGGAATCAAATTGGACTCGGGGCCAATTGATAGATTGGAATGTTAACACGGGATTAAAGGAAGCTCAACTGCCATCGAGTCAATTCCAACTCATTAAAAAAATTTTTTTTCCCAAAAGCAAGATGAAAAATTATTAAATTCATAAGCCCCCGTATAGGGTAGACTTCACCATAAGTGACAATAATAGTTATAGGATCTAGATGCAAGAGAATTTAAAATACCAGTGTCATAATCTCTTATTAGGCTCAGTCTTTGTACTTAAGACTGATGCTTATTAAAACTCACCATAAAAGAACTCTACCAAAGGGCAATGGTACTATGGAACTACTACACTTGTGATGATTAAAAGACCTTTTAATCTTTTGCAATGAAAGATTTAAGGGACACAGTTCATCTCAGCAGTACTGCTGTTGTCACATACTGGGCACCCCCAAAAGTGTTCTTTTACTCTAGAAAGTTGGCAAAATATTCTGCCACTGCCTAGATAGTTAATAATTTTGGCTTTTTGAGTCAAAAAGCCTCTGCTGCACCTGTGCAGCTTTGGTGCTGTGCCCTTGTACAGGCAAGTAGCCAGAGGCAATATACAAATAACTGAGAATGTGACTAGGATCCAATAAAACTTTATTTATCAAACCAATTGGAAGGCCAGGTTTGGCCTGTGGGATATAGTTGTCTAAATCTGCAAGAGAAGATGACAGTTATTGATAGAGATAGGCTATTCATGAAGAAGCAAAATGAAGGGTGAAAATTGCCCATCCTTTGTTTTCGGAACTTTCATTCTACTATGTCTTCTTCTGTCTGTAGAGCCTACAAATTCACTTGTCAAGTACCCAAGGACCCATTGAGGTTTACTTGTGTCCAGAAGAGACTGAGACACACAGCCCAATGAAGACAAATAACCAAGATCACAACGGAAATATCCCTAGACACGCTTCCAAAGGTAAAAAATAATAACAACAGAGGGAAGGTGGCTGGAGCGAGCCTGTACGGAAAGCACGCGTCTAGACAACACACAAGCGTGTCTACTGTTGTTGTGGTTGTTAAGGGTACTCTTTCTAAAAAGGCAGCTGAATAGTAGCCAGCCTGAAATCCTAATGGACAAACAGCTCGTCCACCCACATAACCGTGCCCCTGCCTCAGCTTTTGCCCTGGGCAGAAACCGTTTCCTTACAGGTGAAGTGAGCAGTGGCACTGCGGCCTGTCTTGGTGGACCATCAACCGTCTCTGGCCACAGTCCCTTGAAGGATGTTGCAGAGGAGACCTTTAGAGAGAGACATGGGAGCCATTTGCAAAGAGAAGCCTTTAACCTAAAAGCTTTGGCAGAGAGGCTATGGGAGGAAACGGCCCTAAGAAAATAAATCATAATTCCTCTCCCAGCTGTCCTTATCAAATTCTTGGCAGTACTTTTTTTGGGGGGCGGTGGGGGGGCAGTGGCTGGAGTTATTTTCGATTTCAGCTTAATGATGTGTATTTAAATATCTGCCCCCTTACCCCATCACTCAGTGTATCAGTGTGATTAGGAATAATGGAGTAGGTCTGATTTCGTACTGACAAAAATACAAATACAGTCAGTCCCACAACTGGTGAAACAAAAGATCGCCTCTTTTTTGCCCACCTTTGTGTTGTAAAAGGTACCGTCAATAACCTGGGTGGTCAAGAAAGACAACATTAAAAATTAACAAGTGTCTACCAGGGAGTGTGTGTGTGTGTGTGTGTGTTTCTTCCCTCGGTCCCCGGGGCTGGTGTGTGGGTGGGGGCTGGCAGTGGGGACACACTGCCATTGAGTTATTTCAGACTTATAGTGACCCTGTATTGGATTTAAGAGAACAGACAGCCTCATCCTTCTCCCAAGAAGCATCTATCTGGTGGGTTTGAACTTCCTGTGGTGCAAACCCAACACGTGAAGTAGAACAAGGACCAGTCGTTCTTTCATGTCTGTTAGCACAATAGATAATCAGGCTTACAAAAATACTTACGATAGTCTTGAGCCAAAGGGGCATGCCCCACCCCCAAGGCTTTTTAAATTTGATAGCAAACATCATTTGCATTTTCAACGATTAACCTGATGTTTCACTCCCATTGGTCATCATTTCAGACTTGGCTTCCACCAACTCAGGACATAGCGACTGCTCCATCTCTATGGCAACCCTCTCTCCTCTGGCCTCTCCTGCCAATCTTTTACAGCAGACTGAGGACCAAATTCCTTCCAACCTCGAAGGACCATTTGTGAACTTGCTGCCTCCCCTGCTGCAAGAAGACTATCTGCTGAACCTTGGCGGGCAAGAAGGCGTCAGTGATCTCTTTGATGCCTATGATTTGGAAAAACTCCCGCTGGTGGAAGACTTCATGTGCAGTTGATCGGGCATTGCGTGAACCCTCCCTCCCACACCGTTTGTTTATTATGGAACCAGAACTCCTGTCAAGCAATGTTGCCCCTTCTCCCTCCAAGATATTATCATGAAGTAAACGACGAACTTCAAAACCAAGGCTGATGTTTTAATGAAAGCAAAGGAGGAAAAAAAAACCATTTTTTTGGTTGTTGGTCTAAATGCACAGTTGCGGGCTTCCGTGGAGAAGCCCCGCTCCGCCCCGGCTCCAATCTCATGGAGGAGTCAGCAAGTGAGAAAATGTGCAATCAGGTGTCTCCCGCCTGGATGGGCCTGCTGTGCCTGACGGATGGGCTGTAGACTGGGGGCTGGCCACCTGGCCCACCCGACAGCAGCGATCTTCCTTAATAGCATTTCAAGCCGTGCCTTCTCCGCAGACCACATGTCTTTTTTTTGGGGGGGTGGGGGGGGTGTTCTGCTACATGGAGTGGAACTGCAGGAAGTAAAACCCTGAAGTCATGCAAAAGGATGAGACCGATTTCTCCAGCGCTTCTGGGGAATTACTTCAATGACTGTCCGATTCGGTGTCAGCGTTGTGCTGTCTGGTCACAGGAGGAGGCACCAGTTGCCTCCGCTCCCTTCCACAGGAAGAGCCTGTTGGCAGCTATTTGCCACAAATGCAGAAGAAGGGTAAGAGTCCCACCACTCCACCCTCCGTGGGTTTCCCGTCTCCATAAACCACTCCCCACTCTACTCCCAGCCTCCTGCCCACCCCCCTCCCCAGTGTCTTCTTTGACATTTAAAGTGTGTTTCTAGCCACAACGCCTACTTAGGGGTGCTTGGTAGATTGTTTTAACCTTTTTTTTTTTTTTATTTATCTTCGCTGCCATTGAAGCATTCCCATGGCACCCATCACCCTTTCACGTCAGCTGTTTACTGGGAGACAGTACTTGCTGATTCACATGGGTTGAGCAAGAACGCCCCCCAGGAAGAGTGTACAGACCTCTGTGGTGGGGAGTTTCACAGCCTCTGCGAGAAGCCTGGTCCCCTGAAGCTCCTCTTGGCTGGAGGGGACTGTGACTCCACCCCCCAAGTGGCCCTAGAGCTTCACCCCACAAGGGGCCACTTGGAAAGGTGATCCAGGTCAGTAGTCCCAAGGAGCAGCAGGGATGGGTCCCTCCATCCGTGGACTTCCCAGACCCCCTCGACCGGGGGAAGGGCTCTCTTCTATTGCACTCAGGGAGATCAGATGGGGACGCCTCTGGCCAGAAAGACCTGCCCGTTCCGGGAGGATCTGGTGGCGTTAAAGCTGAGAAGCAAAGGGACTTGTCGCTGTGTCTGGTGCCGTTAACTGTCCCGGCCGCAGCCTGGTCCCCATCCGTCTGTGAAGGAGTCAGTCGGGCCTAGGGAAGTCAGGCCCTAGACTACGAAGTACTAGGATGCCAAGGCGTCCCCCAGTTTTCTCTTTAGGATTGGTGACCGACCTTACAAATGCCCTTCAGTGTGTCCACAAATAGCTTCCACCCGGGGCAGCTGAACACTGCCGTCTGGCACCAGAATGGTGGCACAGCACCTCCAGGTCCATTCCCCGGCTGCACCAGAAACCCGAACGGTGACATTGAAACGCTGTGTGTGCAGGCGCCTGGTAGTCCCTCGATCTGTAAGTGTTTCTTCGAAGGGAAATCTAGATCCTTTAGGAAAAAGAAACTGGCAAAGGAGACCGAGGGGGAGAAACCCCAACCAGGTTCCGCTAGGTGGATTTTCACAATATGCAAGGTGGTGGTGGGGTCCACATGGGGGACACCAGCACTTTAAACTACGTGTAGGTATGCATGGGTGTGTGTTTGGGAAGCAAAACCGAGGTGCGGATGAGCCTCCTCTTTCTTCTGCAGCCTCCTCCTCGCCCTCCTCCTCACATACACTGGACTTGGTCCGCAATGAAGCATGGGGCGGGGCGGGAGGGGAAGCTTTGTGTTAAGTGCCTACTGGAAAATGCACTGTGGGTTTTTTCCTGTATGGGAAACCATTTCTGCCAAGCTTTCCCCCCTCTCCCCCATATTTATCTCATCTGGTTCGCTGCCTCTGCCCCCAGCTTTGTGCGCCCGCTGCACAAAGCTGACTTCTTCCAAAGTCTAGAGAACGAGCCCACCTGGCTTCGGGCGCGTGTGTTTTTTCAGTTTCTCGTGAAAACTTGGGGTCTGCGTCATGCTCTATTTATTGCTTTTGCAAAATGAGAGGAATGCAAATACGTCGTAAATGTTCCTACCTGTGTCCCATTTTGTTTTGGGTTTGGGGATTTTTTTCTCTTTTTTCCTTTCCAGCAAATAGGCTTCTTCATCGAATTAGACGCCCCATGCCGCATTCTGTTTGCGTTTGTCGCTTTTATTTTTTTGACACAGTACCTGGCACTCAAAGTTAGTGCTACAGTGTTTGAGTTACTTTAAGTACTACGTATGCAGGTCTCCTGGTACCATTGAGTTGCTGCTATTAATGCTCACACATGAATGGCTAAGAGTTACAAGGATGCGAATCATGACTGCGTGAGTCTAGAAACTAAAGTCTGTAACGGGCAACACATGAGCTGTCAAACAGTGTTAGGTGTTTGTTTATATGTACAGATGTGTGCATAGCATTGGTCTTATTTAAGTTGTTAACATAGTCGTCTTGCATTTTCATTATCTAGCAATTTTGTACAAAAGGAAAAAAAAAACAGCAATTAATTTGTAAACACTGCCAGAATATTTTCTAGCTGGTTTTGTAATTTTGTGTGTTTGTTTCATAGTGTATTTTTGTTTCTGTCCTTTGTCATGGTCCTCGTTTTCTGTTCTCAGTGTAGATCTGTAAATAAGAGTTGCAGTATTTAAAGCTTTAGCATTCAGGCAAAAGAAAGTCGGCGCTTGGTGGGTGCATGGCAACTCGTGTGTCTGAGAGGAGGACTTTGAAGAAGGATGCCTTGGGGGGGAGTCAGGTGGCAAGTGGCAGGTCGTGGGAATTTCTTTTCCTATGGGGTACGTGATTTTGTACAAAGGAAGTATCTCTCCCGAACTTGGGAGTAGGCAAACTACTAATCGGTTTAGCTTTGTGATGTATGCTAGTTTTAAAACAAAATATGTAATATAGTGTAAAAAGAGAGAGGGAAAGGAAAGGGGAAGAAAGGCGCTTTATGATGGATCTGTAAATAGATTTGTTACAGGAGGACCTGTCCTGGCTGTGATCTCACCACTTCTCAAATGGGTGTAATTTGAATAAATTTTGTATGGCAAAGGAACAATAAAATGATTTTTTTTTAAGAGTTCAGCTTTGTGGATTTTTTTTTTTTTGACGTCTTGAAGTCTCATGTTATGTGTTAGTCTGGGCTCTTCAGAGAAACAAATCCACAAAAACTTATGTACAAGAGAGGGTTTTATAAAGGTTAAGTGTGCATCAAGAAAACATCCCAACCCAGTGCTGCCCAAGCCCACAAGTCCAACATTAACCCATTAGCCCATATGTGCAACATCAATCCACAAAGCCCTCCTCCATCTCACAAAACATACACTATGATGCCGACTGCAGGAGGAAAGCTGAGTCAGTGAATGTGTAAGCATCTCAGCGCAGGCAGGGGTCTCCACGTGGCTGCTCCAGCACCCAGGGCTGCATCGGGGTAGATCCATGTGGCTTCTCCTCAGGGATGCCTTGCAGGAAGTGAGTCTTGCCAGCTGAAGCAGGGAACTGCTAAGGCAGCTGCACCATGGTCCACCCGTCAGAAAGCGAGAGACCTGAGAGCTAGAAAGGTGAGGCTCATCTAGCCATTAATCCCTCCGCCCTTCAATTAACCCCACATGTGTTTATCGGCCAGGTTGGCACAATAAACTAACTACCTCATGTTAATATGGTTTTTAAAGACATCCTCTTAAGAAGATGGTGTTTCTGGGTAGTGCAAAAGGTCTGCCTGTTCATTGCTAGCTGAATGATTGACAGGTACCTCAGAGAAAAGGTGACCTGCTTTTAAAAACCAGCCCCTGAAAACCCCGTAGAGCACAGCTCTGTTCCAAGTCCTGTTTGGTAACCCTAAGGGGAAGTCAGCCCTCGGAGAGGTTGAATAAAAGCCCAGACATCTCAGGCCTCACCCTCTATCTGGAGCTCTGAGAATGTCAAGCAAATACTTGGGGGGTTTGTGGTGTTCCAGGGATGCCTGGAAATAAACCCGCTACCACCTGCAGAGAGTGCTCACAGGCCCTGAAGAAAGATGGTTGCATTACATTGGGAAAGTGATTCCAAGTCCGGGTTTACTTCTCCCGAAAGAGCTGATACATTTTAATTCTCAAAACTAGGAACCAGCTCCTTTCTTTTCTTGACTCTTTATTTTGGGTAAATGGCACCTATTCTAAGACTGAGTTTGGGGGGTATTTTTACCTGCCATGTCACGCTTGATAACTCTTGGCATTTGTGCATTGTGAGTCAACGCCGAAAGTCTGAAGTCAAGAGAAGTTTCCTGGACCCCGTCCCTCACCCCAGAGGCCATTGCGCGGCACATGTATCTCCTGTGTATCGTCCAAGCCCAGTTGTTCCCTACAGGTAGGAATGCATGTGTTTCCATGTGAATCATATGCAAATATGCGATTCCATTGTTTCCCACGAAATGCATCTCCTGTTTTCCGTGTTAATTGTTAGTGTGGATAGGACACCATCCAGTCCGTTCCCAGTCACAAGATCTGAGTGGAAAGAACGTCATCGCCAACACGAAGCTGGTTTTCCCCTGCAACAATCCAATACTGTGTGCATGCAACACTGTGCGAGGTTACATGTTGCTGCTGTTAGTGGGTTTCAAGTCAGCAGCTGGGTACAACAAAGGAACACTGCCCAGGCCTGTGCCACCCACACAGGCATCGCTGTTTCAGCCTATTGTTGCAGCCGCTGTGGCCGTGGGTCCATCTTGTGGATCCTTTCTCTTGTCTGCTGTCCCTGCCCTTCTGCAGGGACTGGGCTCGCCCGTCGCCTCGTATAAATGGTGCAAACGGGACAGGCAGTCAAGACGACCGCAGAAGAATGGATACGTTGGATTTCATCCGTATTCATAAAGCCTCCTAACGGCTCTACTCAGACAAGCAGGTCTGAAACCTGCCTCGTTCTCAGGTGTCAGCGCTGGAACCAGGGCCTGGCTCTCCCCAGTTGACTTCTCTTTTTGAATTCGCACAAGCCTCTGGTAGATTGTGTGCAACAGTCTCTAGTGTGATTTCCTCCAACTCTTCCACACCCCAGTTCACGAGGAGAGGGTGTTCCCTGCCCTCTCAAACTATGTGGGCGACAACACACTGCCCGAGATGGAAACCACTGGGAACCCAGGCACGGTGGCTTTTTCTGTGCGTCTTTTTTCCCTTAGAAGACGCAGAAAAAAGAAAGGGAGACAGAAGTGATCTGTTTTGTTTAAGTAGCATCACATTGGCAGCAGTTTCTAAATAGGACATCCCATTTCCTCCTTGACCAACAGACCCTCCTTCCTGTCCAGGCCACTTTTCAGCTTCAGGGCGTTTAAGACCATGGTTCTGCAGACTCAAACTCAGGGGCGTTTGCACTGGTTAAAGCCTAGCGCTGCCCAGCACATCACTGGGTAGTCCTTAGCCTCCGGGTACAGCTGCACAGTTTAGGCAGTAAACTCATAGGCCTGTCTCCATCGAAGCTGCAAAAGTAACTAATCAATCCCAAAATGACAGGTCAGGGTGTGGGCAGTACTGTAAAGGGCAGGGGTAAGGGGAGACAGTTCAGCTGTAAGCCAGCCCCTGGAGCCCTAAGTGGTAAGAAAGAGCATTTACTGCATGGCCCCCTGGAGAGATCGCAGCGACTGAGCCCAGTGAACAAAATTGGAGCATTCCAAAAGCGAGCATGTTAAAATTGTGTGTGTGTGTGTGTGTGTGTGTGTGTGTGTGTGTGTGTGTGAAATCTTAACCCCTGAAATGTCATTTGTCATTGCTGGTGTAGTAAACCACATGATGGTCTGATTCAGAATGGTTCACTCTGTCTCGGGAGTGTTTTCGGCTCACTAAGACCTAGTTTGTCCATCTTGTGTTCTATTTCATTTTTGATGACTTCCATTTTTCCTAGATTAATATTTCCCCCCACCTTTTTTTTTTTCTAACCCTAATCCTATCCCTCAACGACACCTTAAACCTAACCCCTGAGTTAACCCTAACCCTATCATGAAACTTAACTCTAACCCTACCACCAAACCTAACCCTAACCCGCATGCTGTCTCTAGCTGGATATTGCACACGTTCAAAGTTCCCATTACGAACAGTGTTTTACGGCCGTTCGCATGTTGAGTCAGACCCCAGCAGCAAATGGAGGTCTCAAGAACGCCTCTCCATCTATGCACGGTGGTGGACTCTCCTGTGAGAAGGCGGTGCTTCCTCGGTCATGCGCGTGCCTCTCAACCCGAGGGGTATTCCAGACGGTGCCCCACTGATGTTCATGAGGGTTTCCGTAGCTGACTCTGGCCGCTACAGTCAGTGGCTAATTCCTCTGCGGTGGATCGCCGATTTCTTTGACCCAGCCTGTGCTTCGCCGGAAAACTGCACCGAAAGCTGTTCACCTGGGGTGACCTTGCTGATATTTGAAATGCCAGGGACTGTGCTTCCAGAAGCGCAGCATCAGGCAAGCCACCATCGCACCACAAGCTGACACCATACGGTGGTGAATTGGGTTCTGTTACATTATTGAGCTCATATTTGTGGGAACTGATTTTATGTCAACTTGAAGGTGTATGAACGTGTAGGGGTGCCATCCAGCCTGTCCATCAGGTCCCAGCCTGACGGTGCCTCCTGGAGGGTGTGGCCACCTAAGGAGGGCACTAGGCGCCTCATTCTCACTCTGCCACTCCACTGCCCTGCTTGTGGGACTCTGGTGGCCACCCTGAGAGTTGCCAGGGCCCTGCCATGTTTCCACTGACCTTGGATCCAGCCGACTGCACCCACCAGCCTGCGATCTTCCTGCATCCCGCATCATCGCGTTGGCTCTGTGAGTCTGCAGAGGGGCTTGTGGACTTGAGTTGGACTGGGCTGGGTTGCTTTCTTGATATAATGACTTCTTGCCATTGGATTTGTTTCTCTCGTCAACCCGCCTAACACGGTGTGTCATATTAATGAGACATCAGTGATGCGCCTTCAACTGATCTCTTCTGAGAGACGAAAGGGATTAACAGCCAAGCGAGCAATCACAGATGGGGAGCGATGCCAAGCCACATAGACGGCGGCCAGGAGGAGACATTCCATTGAGAAGAGGGCCTTCCTTGAGAGCCCGCGGAAAGAGAAGGTTTGCCGTCGAGGCGGCTCCCTGGACTCAGATTTCCAGCCGTCTACACTTAGAAATAACCTTTTGTGTGTCAAAGCCACCCACTCGTGCTATCTTTGGTATAACCACGCTAGAGAACTAAGACCAGGATTAAAACAACAGCCTTGATAAAGTGGAAGAGATAAGAGTACTGGAAATTAAATCTAATACCTTTACCAAGCATGCACCACAGAGAGATAAGGAAAAGAAAATTTAAAAGAAATGTTAAAAGATACAGACCAAGAGTTTTCTCTTCTTTTTCCTGTTACAAGCAAAACAAATAATGTTTTTTGTGTTGTAGCTAGATCTTGGTTAAAAGTATTCGACTTTACCTTTGTAGCATTAAATTGATCATAAATATTATGAAACAAAAAACATGGTTTGGGCCCAATAAAACTTGATTTGATATCATTTTCACATGTCATGAAATGCTATTATGTTCTCACAAGCCATTCGGAAACTGTTTTTAGTTCAAGGGCAGTACCAAGACAGGTGGAGGTTGGGCCAGATTGGGCCCACTGACCATAATTTGTCAATCCTTAGAATAGCGTAAAGCAAGATTGACCCACCAGTTGATAATGATTAAAAGTGAGTATTAAGTAAGGTGAGTTCATTATATTAGTCTCTCTACTGTGTACAAGTTTGTCATTTCCATGTTAGCACATTTTAAACCTTGTTAAAAAGATTAGTAACTTCATGTCAATTTTTATAATTTAGTTATAGGTCAAATACATAGAAAAATATAAAAACCCTGAATGATAAACAAATAGGAAATCTGAACAGTCCTGTAGCCATTCTATTAAATTAGTAATTAAGATCTTTCCATTAAAAATACTATCTAGTGGGCAATGAATGTACAAATGCGATTTACACAATTGATGTGTATATGGATTGTGATAAGAGTTGTATGAGCCCCTAATAAAATGATTTAAAAAAATAAAATAAAAATACTATCTAGTCTGATAAGCCAGAAGAAGTAGAGGGTACCTGGC